CATGTTTTTTGTTACTTTTGCTACACGAATTAAAAGCTATCAACTATTTGTTTCTTAAGGAAGAAGAGGAAAGAACTCGCTTTAGCGAAATGTAAAATTTGGCATTCGCATAACAATTGTCTAATTATTTTCTTCTAACTTAAACAAACTGTATTGGCTTAGAAGACAGTCTAATCAGTGCAACATTCCACTTCGGTTCAAGTGGAACTGCTGGTCGAGTGTTCTGAAGAGTTCATTTTTACGGTTACACGGCGCAATCGTCCAATAAATATGTTGTGCATGGTACTGCATTTCGCCAGTGGAATAGAATAATTCATGACTTTTTTGCTAATTGAATACAAATATTAATCAAAAGAACACATGTGCGGATTGCAAAAATACCGTACGCTCTTAGCGGCTTTACTTCGTACTGCAGCTTGAAAAATATAATTAACTTGTTATGCGGACCGAAAGCACGACGGCAATAAATTGACAGATTACGAAAAAAAATACGTACGTATGTATGTATGTAAAGTGGAGCAGCAACAACATAGAGTCAAGGATTTTGCAATTGACAGTAATTTTTTCAACTTTCTATGCATTTTTTTTTCTTGAAAAATTTTATGAAAAAAGTTTTAAAAATATATGTATGAATATACATATTTATCTGCATTAGTATGAACAGATGTGTGTATTAACATTTATTTAAGCGAAGTTAAGATGAAAAGTGTGTTTTTCGAGTTACGTATGTATGTCAGGGGGAATAACCCAAAACATATGGCTGAGAGTAAACGAAAGGCGCGCCAGCTTTAAAAGCAATTTACATTGGTATCTGTCAGATTCTTGGAAATGTTATAAAATTAACATGCTGTTAGTTGGCGATTTCGCCAGCCAGTTTGAGAGTTGGGAAAATAAGAAACAAATAACGGGCAGCTCAATATGCGCGAATAAAATTCGGATTTTATTCGCCAAGGTGAAATTTGCAAACAAAAGGTGTATGCAAAACTTTAAATGTGTACGTAAATAGATATTGATGCATACAAACATATGTACATATTCAAGCGCAGTTAAGAGCATCAATTTATGTACATACATAAAAATAAACCGCTGTTGTATAACAATTTAATTCCAAGTAATTATGTCTGTAAGTATGTATGTACATTAGACTATGCAAAATAAATGCATTATTTTTCTTAGGTCCCATAGGAAATTTTTTTTGTCGGTTACAAAAAATTAATAGTTGTGGCAAAATTTCAGACACTATCTTCATTTTTCAGTTAGCGAACGCAAAAATGTAGCCCATTCCATTTTTAAACCACTTAGAATATTGTCGGAATATTTATTTTTTTATCTTTTTATGTTACCGCATAACTTCGGAGCACGTTAATCGATTTCTATAATTCTTTCGTTAAAGGAAAGGTGGTACCTCAGAGGTGGTTTAAATCCGATCCGATCATGAAGTAACTAACAGTAATCATTAAGTTTTATATGAGACTTGAAGTCGCTTTGATCCTTTGCTTAAAAATTACTTGTAGTATAAATAGTGCACGTTTGAAGTAGCTTGAACATACCGTAAATTTTTGGCAAATTTTTTTGTTGAAGGTTTCGTTGATTCTTTGTCGCCGAACACACAACAAAAAAAAAAAAAACAATCCAAAAATCTACAGTAAGTCCTAGCTACTTCAAACTTGCACTCGTTATACTAGAATTGAAGTGGCTACAAGGTTGTTTTTTTATTTCTTAAATTTTATTGTTTATTAAAAAAAGTAGCAGACAAATTTTTTTTTTCATTTACCGACAAGGAAATTTTCATAAAGGACCGGAAGAAAAAAATTAATTTTATTTAACACAGTCTGATATACATACTTACAAATCGTTACCTTAATATAGAAAAGCTCTAACTCATTTTGTTTTGAAATTCAGCCCTGTACACAAGTCGGTAGGTTAGTCACTAAAGAAAAAAATTAGTTTCTTTATTTATTAAAAACCAGTGTAATGAAGAAAATCGGTACTGAAGAACTTGACTTTTTATAAAATTGTTTAACTACTCTGTAAAAAAATAAAAATGTTAAATAGGGTCTTTCTATATTAAGGCAACGATATGTATGTGCCTAGTATAGTTATGTAAATACATAATACTAAAAGATTGTATCAGCTGTCATGTAATTAACACCAGCGCCAGAAGCCATAATACATATGTATGTATGTATGTAGATGCATAGAAAAATATATACGTAACAAATTGTGGCTGCAGTTATTAGGTTTTCTTTGCCTCCGGATTTTGTACATATAAATCAGTTGGAAAACTAGTTAACCTTTCTACATTGAAAATTTCATAAAAATTGTTGCTAATTAAATAGAATCAGTAAACGGAAATTCGTGAGCTATTAGTCATGCAGGTGAACATGATGCTTCTGCCACTTCTTTCTGTTAATTTAACTAAGAAAATCTAGCGATGCAATACGAGTATGATCCAATCTATGATCGTACATATGTATGTACATACATACATACAACAATATATACGATACATATACATATGTATGTATGTATATGGCAATAATAGCACTCGTTATTTTCATGCTGTCACTATTCAAACTTAACGCTTTTTTATGGGTTTGAAAAATTTAATAATACATCATTCGGTATGCGAGTAATTGAAATTTAAATGTACAATCGTGAAATGACACAGAGAGTTACGGAATAATAAGTTTATTAACTACTGTGGAGTTTCGATATACGGGCTATGTAACAGCTGTAGCGAACATTATAGTGAGCTTCGAAGAAATTCATTCAGTTATTAACTGTACGTACTTTTCTTAAGCTTTTTTATATTATAAACAACCGCAGCATTTGGATTTTAATAAATAAGTTGCCGTTTTGGGTCTTTAAATACGAAAATACCATTAAATCAGTATGCACCGATGTATTTATACCTACTAGCGAACCCGCGTGACGTTAAAATGCCCAAAATTGAATTTCAAAAACGTAAACAATATTCCAAATATTAATCAGAGTTATAAGCGATCTGAGCGCCATATTTCATCCAAAGCTGTGCAGTCATTTCTGAGCTAAGAGAGGTCTCGCATAGTGCAGGTTTTTAATTTCATCAAATTTTTAATCACCGATAAAAAAGGACCTTAATTAAAAAAATAAATTTAACTAAATGCTAAGGTCTTTAGTTTGACCTCCCATTCGAAAGAACTGTGCAAATTTAATGACTACCACAAAAAATGCCTTCTCATATAATAAGTATGCATATGCACTTAGTTAGATCGATATAACTTTTCCAAAAAGGTGGTAAACCTAATAGGGTTGCCATCTATTTTCCATCTTAAATTTATTAAATTTTTTGTTTAGAAAATAAATTATGTGCTACATATTTATGGATTTTAAAAGAAAACTCTTAAACAAAACATGGCAAGTATTATACTTGCCACTTGCCACTTTTCCGATTATTCAAAATTTAATTAAAAGATCTTAAAATGTATATCAAATTTATTTTTGGGAACTTTATTCCAGAAATGTTTTCGATGGGGGTTGCCACGTTTTTTGTTTTTTAATAGAAATTTGTATCTTATTAATTTCTAAATTGGATTACCACCTAATTTTTGATTAAATTTATTTTTTTTAATTTGTTAAATTAAATTTTTTTTCCCCCCCAAATATTCTTTTTAAGGAATTCTGATTAGGCTAAGATATTGAAAATATGTTTGTTTATCAGCATACTTTTTAAAGATTTGTATTTCCATTTTGTTCCACCGACTACTGAGCTATTTATTAGGTTAAAATTTTAACTCACTGATAATATTTTTTTTCGACATACTTTATACATCCTATTGATTTAATGTTAAATAATAAATTCTATTAACAATATTACATAAAAAACATTTATAATCTAAAGCTAACCAAATGACCATTATTTGAAATCCAAACCTTGCACGCTTTTAAAAGTATTTGCTCTTCGATCACAACGTTCGGTCAACCTGGCACTAATAAGTTTAAAGTGGCCAGTTTTATTACACAAATACTCTTACATATGTGCGGCATTAAGAACTCTTTGTTGTCATTATTTATCACGAATGCCTTTAGTTGAAGGAAATTTAAGACGCGCAAATGTACTATGTCAAAAAATCAAAACTTATTTGTATAAATTTATATCTCACGTCAAGTTCAGTTAATAAATAATTCTGATGTAGTATTTCGAAATACACGATTTTTTTATGAATCTATAATTTACATCACTACTTGTCATTCATAAACACATTCGTTGGCTTCTACATTAAATGATACAAGAGCAGCTTGATAAGTCAGAGGCTTTTCCAAAACATTTATGTTTCTTTGACAAATTTAGGTTCAAATTCTTATGGTCTTATTCATAAAAAATAAAGTAGGTTTAAAGAGCTTTATAAATTGACGTTTTCATACATTTTTCAATTTATGAACCTTTTATAAAGCTACTTTATTTTTTATGAATAAGGCCATTAGACTTTTTCTCGATATGTATATGTATTTAGTGTAGTGTTTTTTTTTCAATTGTAATAGGTTTCCATAAGACCCTTAATTTCATCATTCGAACAAATTATCATTCGAACAAATTATCTTACCTTCGAGCCACTTACTTTTATAGGTTTGGAATAGAAATCTGGCTGATGCAGCTAAACTGCGAGAAGATGCTGGGTGGGTTAAAAGTTCGTGACCGTAGTTATGTATCATGGATGAAATTTACTCTCACATTTTCTCTACGAGATTTTCTGATTTCAATTGCGATCAAATGTAAACTAAATGCCGTTGCTTGCTCAAAATCAAAAGGTTTTTGTTGAGAGGAACGATACTGGCTTTAAATGTACTACGCGGGATATTCCAAAAATCACTGACCTATCCAACGGTCCTCTTATGTAGAGTTTTTTTAAGTATACAATTCTAGACATAAATCTGAAGATTTCATATTTGATTGCACTTGCATAAGTATCTACTCATAACAAATATACTTAACAACATATTTTTCTTTATCATTTCAGGGTTTCAACACCAGCCACGAAAATTAGGCAATAAGCAGTTAAGACACATCAGTTACAAAGGTTGTGTTGAGAAAGTTGTGCGCTAAAAGATAATGCATTTAATTTAAAAATGAGTGAGAAAGCATAAAAAAAATTAAAAAGTAAAATTTCTAATTTAAAACCCGAAAATCGCGGAAAAATTGTATTTTTTTATATAAAATAGCGCGAATATGTCGGCCTTAAGAAAAAATGCTACCAAGTTTGTATTGAAAGTAAACGCAGCTGATCGACAATAACAAGTGATTAGAAAATAAACAACAAAAATTATGCCAAAAACGCCAAAATAAAAGGTAGTAAAAACGTTTGTATATAATAAAAAGTAGAAAGGCCTAAAGCAACCAGTAGTTTTTTAAGCCACATGCAAGCAATAAATAATGCATATATACATATGTACGTAAAAAAAAACAGAAATAAATATGTAAATAAAATACAATTAAATAACCAAAAGACCCGCAGCGCAGACGTGTCGGAATTTCGATAATGAGGCGTCAGTAAGCCAAGCGTCGTCGATCAGTACTCGCCTCGCGTACGAGACAAACGTAGAAAATTTGTTTTTCAATAATAAAAAAAAAAAATTATATATATTTATAAAGTCAGTGTTGCGTTGTTGCATTCGTTTGAGCGTTGCTTACTATATTGTGTTGCGCTTGGTCGATGTCACGTGTCGGTGCAATTCAACTATTCGGTGCAATTCAACTACTCGGTGCATTGATGCGTGCGATGACGACGGTGGTGATGGTGATTTTGACGCCCGCTTGCCACTCTTTCGTGTTAACAGCGCCGACTGCCAGGGGTACACGGTTGGTAGCAGGTAGCTGCAACTAGTAAAATAGTCAACAAATAACAAAAGCGGGCACACTGGCCGCTTATTGCTGCTGTCTTAACATTCTTACGCCAACTGTGCTTTCATCGTTTAATATCGATAAATGCAAAGTATTCACATAAATCCTAAATCACTTACGTTTGTTCCTTTGTCGCTGCAGCTTTTCTCCTTCAACGCTGGCTGTAGTTATCCTGTAGAGTAATTTATAAACGACAAAATATGACAGTCTCATATGCTGGTGAAGTGCCAAATGGCAGCAGTTTTGGCTGTTTCTGGCGCATTCTATGGAAGTAAGTATTAAAAGTCGAATTAATTGATTTGCATTTTTCGCAACTCATACCTATGTATATTAAGGACGATTCATACGAAACAAATTTTTATTTTGTAAGATGCGAGACTCGAAAAGATTATAGAAGGGCTGCCATGGTTCTGAGTGCCGACGGAAAGAGTAATATCGCAAAAACTTATCAGTTGTATGGGAGATATGCATACATATCTTATAGGGCACCGATATTCACGCTTTTGACGATCTTCACGAACACGGCACATCAAAATTTTCCATGACATTTCGGCATAGTTCGGACTATATAGTATTTACGTGTACGATTTGGTTCTACCGCTCTGGAGTCGTCTCGGGCTTATTGGCACAGATCACTCTTTCCACGTAGCCCCTGAGAAACAAGTCCAATGGTGTTAATTCGCAAGATCTTGGCGGCCGCTTGACCTCATTGTTTCGAGAGATAATGCGTTCTGGGGAACTTCGTTCGCAACATGGCCAAAAGTTTCATTAGCATTGCGGCAAGTGGCACCGTCCAGTTGAAACCGCATATTGTCCAAGTCCATAACATCTAGTTCAGGCCCTAAAAAAATTGTATTTATATCACGAGAACGTTCACCGTAACAGCGCTACCGGTATCACCGGTTAACGTATCACAAATTATTGGTGTCAAATACATATGTATCTGTATCACCCTATACTTGTGTCAATGTTTGTTGTTTCTTAGGGCCGTTTTCTCAAGTAAGCTGTAAGTTTAAAGCTCACTTCATATTTAAAGGTTGCATTAAAATTTATGATTGTGTCTAAAGTAAAGCGTTTTATTATAATAATATGACAATAGAAATGCTCAACTTTAGACATAGCTTTATTTTTAATTCAACCTTTAAATATAAAGTGAGCTTTAAAGTTGAAGGTTACTTCAGAAAACGGCCCTTATTCAGGTACACCTTTTTTGTCGCATCTGCTACCATATAACGAACAAACACAATTAATTTTTATATGGAACAGCTTTGGCAGAAAAATTCTTAAAAGCAACGGTAATTTTTAGCCACTTGAAACATGCACTGTATAACACTAAAATTAAATGGGGCTTTAAAACTTCATACTCAAAAAATTCTAACAATTCTGAGAAAAAAGTTTGAAATTTGGATGAAAATCCCAAAAAACATTGTGGCGAACGTTCGAAAATTAAATACTTTCGATATCCAATATGCATATCGAACTGAGAACGAACTCGTAACCAAACTTATGGTCTGATTATGGCAACTTAACGTAACTTACAGGCTCTCACTTAAGCATTATATTAAATGGATGTTGCTTATAATTGAACAGCTGAAACTTAGCGTAACATAATGCCACGTCGAATCTGTTTCATTTAGATTCTCTAAGTTCTACGTTCCGTTAAGTTAAGTTAAGTTGCCATAATCAGGCTTTTAGTTTTCCGACGTTCCGTAGCAAGCAGCAGTAGTAAGAGAGAAAGTGAAATCCAGTTAATTTTTGAAGGGAAATATATGACAATCACTCTGTCTCATTAAAGTTTCAATTCGATAATAGGCTAGATTTCGAATTCATAACGAAGGGAAAATACATTGGATAACGAAGGTTTCGTTTTACTGGCGAATGGCCTACTTAACTATTCCACATACAATATCGAAGGTGAGATTTGAAAAATATATTTGTTTTTCAATTATTTTCGAATTTTTAACCACGCCTAATGTTTATTGGGATTTGTTGATTTTTTTTTTTTTAATTTTCTACATATGGGTTTTGTTAGAGAATGAACTGTGTTTTAATTGAAAGTTCTAAAAATAAATAAATATTCAATCATAAGTAGAAAATAATATCACTTTGAAATGGGGTGCTATTGTTATGACCGTCACCGTATGTATGTACATACGCAAAAAAGCGGTTATTGACGAAAACAGGGTCACCAATTTTTTTTTGCTTTTCTTTACTAGTGAAAGCATAAATCTGTTGGTTTAAAAAAAAAATAGCGGGACACGCTTTGCACAAAACAGGATTGCAAACATATACATAAATCTAGTGGCTACAAGGAGAAGAGTTGCATTTCCCTTAAAAGTTTTAAGTGATGCATTTTTTCGTACTTACAGGAGGAAATATTTTTTGGTAGCATGGTTCTGTTAACATTTCCCAAAAAAAATGTCTGAAAAGGGGCAAAAGTTGCCCATTATTTTGGAAAAGGGTAAAAAAATTAAAATTTTCAAAAAGTCGGGTCAAAGGGTATTACCGCTTAAAAAGGCAACGGCAACACTGCCTGCAGCAATATGGCGGCCAATTTTCCGAAAAGCACCGGTACCTCATTTGATCGGTTAGAATTAGACATTTGTTTGCATCTAAAATGTTTGCTTGCGACTTAAGGAACCGTTCTAGAGATAGACAAAAAGCGATACTCTCTGTCTAGAAATTTTAATCGAGAATAAGTTCAGCTCTAAAAAAAACACATTCCAAAAAACGCCACTCTGTGTCTGTCAAAAATTTAAAATGCACCAATCTCCCAAAGTAAATATTTGAAAACACATTTACATGCGGTGGCTGTGGCCGAGTGCGCAGATACTTATGCTTGCACTATTTTTTAGCTTTCGAAAGGGTTCGGGTTCAAATGCCATTACACATAAACAACATAACCTTGTCGATTTTTTTTATTTTTTTGGTTTTTTCTTAATTATGAAAAATCATCTTTGAAGTGCAGAACAAAATCGTATTCATACGAGAAAATCTCCAAATATAAATCGAGTGGTCCAAAACCAGATAAAAAATAACAATTAACCACAATAGAACACCTAACGGTAAGTAGTCTTTTTTCCAATGAGACTCCAATGTAAAAGAAAAACAGTTGAAACCATTGGCAGAGGAATTAGTATGAGCGACTAGTACTGGTAACAACAGGAACTATCCGAGGGCTAACCGAATTGTTACAGTGTACCACCTTTGCACCTACATATGATTCATGCTATTCACAGTTATACAAATAAAAATAGTTAAGTAATTTCGTTACGGTTTTTGTTGACAGTTCGGTGCGGAACTTATCGACAAATGCAAATATGAATAAAACATGCAAGCGCAGTGATCTGGTTTATTTATTTGTTATGTACTACTCGTGTTAATTTATTCATATTTCACTAGAAGTTTGAAGCATGCAAGCCGGTTTATATGATCACGCACCAGTAGATACACTGGCGGTCAAAAATGGCTGAATGGTGTTTTGTTTTTCATATTTACAATGGTTTTCAAGCTAAAACTTTTTTGTTATTTTTTTATAAAAACATGGTTTATGCTTTAACAAAAACCATATAAATCCCACTTTCAAACTTTATACAGAATTTACAAAAATTCTTTTTAACCAGAATTTTTATAAAATTTTTGTGGGTATGCAGGTGGCAAGCAGGCTTATAAAATTTTATCAAAATAAATGCAAGTTTTGAGTGGCTATAAATCTCATTGATTTTTAACAATTATATTTTTTTTTGAAAAACATTGCAAATATTAAAAACAAAACAACATTCATCCACTTTTGACCGCCAGTGTATGTACATATGTACATACAAACAAGTATACGTATTATTTATGGCAGAAACAAATTGGGTTGAAGTAACTTTGAACGAATAAACTTTTAGCCTTCATTTATTAAAAAATCCCCTAGATGTCAAGGAAGATAAAATAAAAAATAGTGAAGTTTTTATAACAACCTATGCAAGAGAAGGATCGCGCACAGTGCTACAAACGAGAAATTTACTATATATTCAAAGATGCCTACGGTACAATTCTTGTCGAATTTCCAACTTTTTTTATAATTTGTTACATTTTAAATTTATTTATTTATTTATTTTTTTAGAGCCGAGAAAGTATAAATTTTTAAGAATTCGATTCTAGATAGAACTCCGATACAAAGAAAAAAAAATGGCATAAGAAAATTTTTAAATATTATAAAAAATGGTAGCGAATATTTTATTATTTTTTTTTTATTCGTTAATTTTGAGCTTCAGGCCGGTTATTAAATAAAACATAGATTTTGGTAGTTTTATTCATTACATTTATAGCTGTCGACATTTCGCCTTCAATCTGAAGGCATCTTCAGGAATTATTGAGTTTTTCCAATCGATTGGATATATAGTTCAACAATTGACGGTTTTGCGCATTTTTATACCCGAGCGCACTTGTGCACAAGGGTATTATAACTTTGTTTGTAACAGGCAAAACGAATCGAGATAGATATAGACAAATGTATACATAAATGATCAGAATGAAAAGAGAAATCGATTAAGCGGTGACTGTCTGTCCGTCCGTCCGTCCGTCCGTCCGTCTGTCCGTCTGTGCACACGATAACTCGAGTAAAAATTGAGATATCTTAATGCAACTTGGTACGTGAACTTCTTTTGGGTGTAGGACGGATGGTATTGAAAATGGGCGAAATCGGACAATAACCACGCCTACGTCCCATATAACGGTAATTTTCAGAAATACGAAAACTGCGATATTTTAGTAACTACTGAAGATTATGCACTCAAAATTGATATTTACAATGAGTTTTAGACGAAAAATAAGAATATTTTAAAATTTTGGCAAATGGGCGTAGCCACGCCCAATTATGGTTACATGTGTACATCTTGGTAACCGCTGCACAAATTTCTTCCAAACTTGGCACAGTTGTTGGTCCTGGTACAGCATACCAAATGGCCGAAACTTTTTAAAATCGGACAATAACCACGCCCACATTCCATATAACGGTAATTTCGAGAAATACAAAATCTTCGATAAATCAGTAAATATCAAAGCTAATTTATTCAAAATTGATGGTTGCAACAATTCTTTACCAAGAAATACGTTTATGATAAAATTTTGGAAAATGGGCGTGGCACCGCCCACTTATGATTACATATATGTATCTCGCTAACCGTTCTAGCAATTTGTACCAAACTCGGTATGGTTATTGTGCTTGCCACATAAAAGCAAACCGTTGAAAATTGTTGAAATCGGTCTTAAATTACGGCCGCT